CTCGGCCGCCGGGAGAGCCGCGCCGGGGCCGCGCCGGGCCGGCGAGGAGCGCACGAGCCTTCGAGGTTGTGGACCAGGGAGGGAGAAGCTGCCGCCAACGCCGACTCTCGCCCGCAGGGAGCCCGAACGCCCCGTGGGCCATGAGCCGCCGGACCCGGGGAGCCCGGCGGCGATCCGGGCAGCGCTCCGCCGGCGCCCTGGCCCGCCCGGCAGCAGCTGCGCGCCTGTAGGTACGGCCTGCTAGTCCTCAGTTCCCTCGTCCGCTCGTCCATCACTCCGGACCCCGTCCGCCCCTAAGGGCGCGCGTGTGTGTGCGCACGGCTGCCCCGGGGAGCGCGGCCGCACGCGCGCTGGTCCGCGCGTGTCGTCTTTGTGTGGGCGGGTGGGAAGGAGCGCGACGAGGAGATGCGCCCCGGCGGGGATCGGTTCCCCGACCCCCATCCCGGGCCGGGCGGGAGTGGCGGGAGGGGCCGAGCCGCCTCCGGAGCAGCTGCGCCCCCGCCCCTTCCTAGGTAGGGCATAGGCCCCGCGGTGGGGCGAGAGCAGCGAGCCCCTGGAGGAGCGAGACCCCAGGAGGAGTCTCTGGCCAGGGGAGAGGGGGCGCCGAGGTCTCGTCCCTAGGCTGCGGTGGCGAGGGAAGGGCCAACCTGGAATGAGGGTGCGGGCCATGGGAGGAACCCCATCCAGACCACAGTTACCGAGCCGGTACGCCCTCCATTTGGCCCAGGCCTTCTTTCTCACGGTCACCATTCTTGACCCGCCCACCCCGGGAGCTCTCCGGCAGCCTCCGATAGAGAGGAGGACCGCCGAGGGTGCCCGAGAGGCCGGCCCCTTTAAGAATGGGCGGGTTCATGCCCTCCATTCAGGCCCTTCTGCCTCGGCCATTGATGAACCTGCCGGCAGCGCGGGGCCCGGGAGCCGCGCCAGCCCAGCGGGCGGAGGCCAGAGTGAGACAGAGACCCGTCCGGGCCCCCGGCAGCCAGGTCTTCAGCGGGGAGAAGTCTGCAGTGACTGGGGCCTCTCGGGAGCCGCGCAGGGTGGACCGGGCAGCCTCAGGAGTGACCGTGAACATGGAAAGGCCAGAATCTATGCTCACACCAAGTTGGTGCAGGGGAGAGCCTCAGAGCCTAAGCTGGGGTGAACCCTACCTCTGCCTTTTGAGCCTCCATGGGGATGATGCTGCCCACCTCCCAGCTGGGGAACCAGCAAAGGTGTCCCCCCACACAGGGCACTGGGCACCTCTGGGAGAGCTGAAGGGCCAAGGGGGCGGTTTCCCGCAAGAGGCTTTGGCTCCCTCTGTTGGGAGCATGATCTGAACCACCCCCACCCCACCCCCTACCCGGCTACTCTGCCCTCCACTTTGAACAAATCTCTTCCCTCCCGGCTCCATCCAGGAGGCCAGGGGTTGGGGGAGTGACCTAGAACCTTCAGCCCCAGGAACTTTGGGAGGGGTCTGGCAGTGGGGGCAGTGCTGTTTGGCTGGCATCGGTCAGGGTGTTTATGGAGGTCTCTAAGGCAGAGTTTCCCACAAGCTGCTTCCTTCTCCTCCTCTCCCCCTCTAGAAGGCGTGAGTGATGGTGGGCAAGGGATTCTGATGCTGGGCAGTTGAGTGGTTCTAAGTAATTGAGGGTTATTGGATATGGTTTTTCTTACCTTTTCTTACCTTTCTTTTCTTTAGACAGATTGTGGGAAATCTGTCTAAAGTTTCTAAATCCCTCCTCTTTACTTAGTGAGTCTCCTAGGGAGAACCCCTGCACACACACCCAAGGGTGGGCCTCCCTAGGGGATGTTGGAGGTGGACTCCCACCCAGGTGGAGCCTGGGCCCCCCAGGGCTGAACGTTGGTTTCAAGCTGACTCGTGCCAGCCTAAAGGCGTCTGTGCTGCTTCTAATGTAGTCTTCACAGCAGCGCTGTGTGTTTGTTACTATCATTATCCCCATCTTGCAGAAAAGGAAACAGATTCAGGGAGGTGAAATGACTTGCCCAAAGTCACTCAACCAATAAGCCAGGCCTCCAAACCACTTCTCTCTGACAAGAGCCTGGTTCTTACTTCTTGTGCTGTCTACGCATCCTGGCATGCAGGTGCCTTGGGCCTCCTGGCTGCTGTCCCCATGGGGTTCTGGTCCAGTCTTGGAGCCCACCTCACTTCCTGCTCCTCACTGTCCACATGGGACCGGAGGGGTGGTGGCAGCTTTGGAGTCTAGGGAGGTTTCTCTTCCCCCCTCACCTGGTTGGATCTGTTTCTATGGCTGGGCTCTGTCCCAGGGGAGAGCAGGTGTCACTCCTCAACATAGAAGAGGCCCAGCCCGCACCTGTTGGGCAGAGCGAGGCAGGGCATCAGTATGTGGGAGGACAGCATCTTTTGGCCCCTTGGGCTGGTAGCGTTTGGGCTCCATTCTCCAGATACTTCCGACCCTCTGTGTGGGTATAACACTCAGCTGGGGGCTCACGGTTTGGTGAAGACAGGCCACAAGCCATGTGGTGTTGTGGAGGGGTCCAGGGTGGAGGTGGGGACAGGACAAAGTGGGCGTTGCCAAGGCCTCCATGGGCTATCAGGGCAGAGGAGTGGAGTAGGTGGGGCATGGCCAGGCTGGATGCTGACACTCCGAGCGGAGGACAAGCAGGGGTTGGAGGAAGAGGATGTGTTAGAACTTGGATGTGGTGAGTTTGAGGTGCCTGGAGATCAGCCAGGCCGGGAGTTCACCTGCTCGGAGAAAGGCCCAGGGAACTTTATAAACATCCGCAGTACCCAGAGTTCCAGGAGACTCAGAACTGAGGGGAGGCGCTGGAGGGCTCAGTTAGGAGTCACTGGCATGTGTGTCATGAAAAAGCCAGAAGGCAGACGGGTGGGCTGAGTGGTGGGGGTTGAGGGGGGCATCCTGCAGGTTTCAGGGTCTTGGCCAGGGGCCAGGGGTCTGAATCCGAGCCTAGGTGAGATCCGTGGCACCAGGAGAGAGGGAGAGGCTGTGAGGCTCAGGCCAAGGCTGAAGAAGGGGGTGCCTCTGCTCTGCAACCCCAGGAGGGCAGGGCCAGTGCGGCTGAAGCCATCCCGGGTCTGCTCCTCACCCACAGAGCCTGTCCAGGAACTGTCCAGCGCCAGGTGCTCCTGAAGGAGGATGGGCTTCCCTCCTAAGCCCCTAGGCCCTAGTAGCTTATTGTCCTGGGCCCCACTCCTTGCTCATCTGACATCTACTTCTTGCAGGGCCCAGCTTTGGGTTCCCCTGCTCTCCAGCCTGTCAGAATGCTTCCTCTTCTGAGGGTAGGCCTCTCCTTTCCTGAAGTAGGGCCTGAGTCCCCTCTCTGTGCCCTCAGAGTGAGAGCTCCCCAGGGACAGGCCCCTGTTGGGAGTAGCGTGTGCTATGGAAAGGGACAGATCTGAACTTGGCTCCATGCTCCCCTCTCACCCATTCTGTGGCCCTGGATCAACCCGCCTGGCTCCTGACACATAGTGGGAGCCCAGTACCAATCCGGTGAGCTGATGGGCCACTTGCCAGAACCCCATTCCCTCATCTGTACAGTGGGAGAATCCTCTCTTCCTGGCAGGGAAGATGTGAGGGGAGAAGGGTTTTAAACAGGGGCATAGCCCAATTGGATGTGGGTTCTAGAAAGATGACTTTGGCCCCAATGTGGAGCCTGGATTTGTTGGGCGTTGGGGGTCAGTAGGAAACAGAGAAGCCGGGAAGGAGGCCTCTGCAGCCATCTGCCCAGAGCAGAGGGAAGAAAAAAGGGAAAGGTTGCAAGACATTTAGGAAGTAGAAGTGGAGGAGCTTTGATTGTTAAACACATTACTTATTTCATCCTCATGACAGCCCTTTGAAGTTGGTGCTGTTATTACCCTCCATTTTAACAGATGAGGAAACTGAGGCTCCGGGAGGCTGAGTCACTTACCCAGGGTCACATAGCTAGGAAGCAGAGGAGGTGGGATTCAAACCCAGATGGTCTGGCTCCAGATCTCGGGCTTTTAACCATTCCCCTGTCCCAACGTGTCAAATGACTGGATGTGGAGGTAGGGAGACGCCCAGGCAGTGGGGCCTCTGTGATGGGAGCAGCTGCAGGTCCCAGAGCCAGCGGGACTTGTCAAGGTTGGGGGCATCCGTGAAAGCTAAGGGGCTCAGCAGAAGGGCTTCCACCCTCCCACAGTGGCGGAGGCTGGGGGTTGTATGAAAGGCATGAGGGTGTTCTGGGCACAGGGCAGCTGTACCATCTTTAATAGCTGCCTCCCAGCGATGCTGCTCAGCACAGGCAATCTGGGTGGGAGAGCAGGATGGTCCCACTTTACAGCTATGGAAACTGATGCTCAGAAAAGCCAGAACCACCTGAGTGCCCCCCAACCCCAGTCATACTGGGGCAGAGTCCCAAGGGGTCTTGAGCTGCACCTGTCACTGGTCAGAGCTCCCTCCCATCCCCACTCTGCAGCAAAGTCCCAGCAGGTTCAAGGGTGTGAAGACCAGAAATCATGCCCACTTCTGTCTTCTGCCAAGGTCGTGGGGGGAGCACAGATATTCTGGATGGGAGTCGGGGCGGGGAATTCCAGCCACACCCCACTCTCGCAGGAACCTTGGTTCAGAGCCTGCCCCGCGGGGACGCTTTCTGGGGGTGGGGTGGGGAGTAGACTTGAGAACCAACGCCCAAGGACCCAACAGTGAAACAGAGAATGTGCCCTGTGTACTCCATCCGCAGGGGAGAAGACTCAGGCAGCCAGCAGGCAGAAGATATCCTGGCTGAAGGAACAGCCTGCCCAGAGGTTGTCTGTGCCCTGCAGGGGGAGGGGTGCAGAGAGAGGGCTGAAGGAAACTGCCCCACAGAGGCCAGGAGAGCAGCTGGAGGAACAGCAGGATGGAGGATGGAAGGAGCCTTTGTTGTAAAGTGCAGGGGTGGGTGGGCCAGGCCAGGCCAGTGGTCCTGAGAAGCCCAGAGGAGAGGACCTCAGTGGGCGTGGTTGGGGCCAGCTTCCCGGAGGGCAGGGAAGAGTTGTGTCTGCTGCTGCTCTGAGCACCCAGCTGAGTGAAGGTGCAGAAGAAGGGTGGGGGATCTTGATGGTGGAGGATGCTGCCCAGGTCCTGCCCAGGGGCAGCCTAGCGGGGCAGCCTGTCAGGGTGCTAAGTGGCTAGTTTGCACTGTGGAGCCTCCTTCCCTTCCCGGGGGGTCAGTTGTCTCCTGTGGTGGGGAGGCTGGCTCAGCTGGGCTTCCCCAGAAACATGGATCGGTGGCCCCTGCCCCCCTCCCACGCCGCCGCCCACTGTGAGGTGGATCGATTGGTCTTCCCTGGCCCATTAGCTGGGGTGGCTGGGCCGCCTCATCAATATGTTAAGGAATGACCTTGCCGTGGGGTCCGGAACTGCGTGCCAGCGGAGGTGACAACTGGCTTTTTTTCTTTTCCAATTGTCAGCGCTATTTTTACCGCCGGAAGGCCAGCCGCCCCCTCTCCCCGGCATCTAACCCGGTGGGGTTGGGGGCTTCTCCCGTCTGGGTTCCTGGTTAGGGGTTAGGAGAGTCCATGGCTTGGAAAGGCAACAGGAAGGGACTCAATTAGGCTTCCCCTGCCCCCCCATCCCCTGCTCCACCTCCCTGAAGCCCTATTCCGTCCACTTGGGCCCTGGCTAGATGGGAGAAAAAAACATTTTTCCAGGAGGAGAAGCCAGACAGCCCAGCTGAGCCTCAAAAAACCCCAGGGTGATGAATTGGGGGAGGGTAGTCTGCCCACTCAGGGCCCTGGGGGGCTCCCTTTGTCTCCAGCCCCCATCGTCATAGAAAAAGCCTGTGAAGGCAAGAGGCAATCCCCTGCCTGCCCCTATCCCAGTGGGGTGACAGTGGGCCCCGGTCTTCAGTGTCCAAGGGCCATGACAGTCAGGGGCCACTAGAAGCCACCACTGCAGCACCGCATTTGTTTGATGGGAAGCCGAGGCAGTGCAGATCTCCCACTGCCCAGTCAGACGCTGTCCCGCGCTGACTCAGCACGTCTTTTCTGGTTCCCTGGGGCCAGAGGAGGAGGAGCTGGGACCCTGTCCACAGAAGCAAGAGGGCCAAGGACCACAGGGACCATGGGAGCTCAGGGAGGCAGGGCTAGTGTAGGGGGAAGATTTCCTAGAAGAAGAGAGGTTTTTACACAGTCTCAAGGCCAAGTAGAATTTGAATACTGTCCTGCGCTGCATAGCGACGTTTGGGTCAACAAGGAACGCATGTGCGACAGGGGTCCCATAAGATCAGTCCATGTAGCCCAGGTGTGTGGTGGGCTATACCACCTAGGTCTGTGTAAGTACACGCTGTGATGTTCGCACGACGAAATCGCCTAACGCTGCGTTTCTCAGGATGTATCCCATTGTTAAGTGATGTCCAACTGTAGTGGGCACAGTGAGGAAGGCAGTCCAAGCTGGAGAGGGACACAGGCAAAGACTGAGGTGGGAATTCCCAAGGAGCCCCTGGAGGAGGAAGAGCCCAAGCCAGCTGGATTCAATTCATGAACCTTCCAGGCCAGTCCGGACAGTGGGGGCCGGGCAAGTTCGTCCACCCTGCTTCTGGTGCCTCTGGGTTCCACTCCCCCTAAAGCCAAGCCCTGTTCCTTGTGGCTCGCAGCCTCCCCTTCACAGTGACCCATGTCTGGGCTTCAGTCTCCCCATCTGTACTAGGTGTGGGGCTCCCTGCAGGCCCTGCTGCTTGTGACTTCTACCTCTGGCTGCTCAACCCTGCCACACAGAAGCCCCAGCTGGACCCAGGGGACACCGAGGACTGCTGTGCTGGGCATCAGGCCCATGGGCCCCTGGCCAGCCAGCAAGGGGGGGCGGTCAAGGCAGGCCCAACCTCCCAGTGCCTCCCGGGCCAGTCCCTGCCTGGGACATGGCCACAGCCACTGCACCCTTGACAGATTCCTCTCTGAGTTCCACCCGTACCTCCAGGGAGGGCTGGCTGGGACCCACCCTGCGAGAGCTTCTCTCCAGGGCCCTGTCCCTTCACTCTGCCCCTTCTCCCTGCCAAGGATATTACCAGCCAGCAAGAAGAGTGGAGAGGGACCGGGGTTGATGCCCAAGCATGCCACACGGGGACTGACTTCCTCCCTGTCCCCATCTGCCCCATCTGGGGGTGTAATTATGTCAAACAGGGGCATCCACATTTGATGCTGGCTCCCTGCTAGCCCTTCCCAGGCTGCCGTGTCACGTAGTCTGACCCTCCTGGTGGTCCCGGTGGTCCCAGTGGTCCAGGGGGAGCACTGCCTGCTGGGTAAATGGATGGGCTTGGAGCACAAGGACAGGGCCTTGTGGGCTTAGCTGCAGGGCTTCCTCCCCACTCCCACCCCCAGAATGCCCCCTCTCCGCAGGTCAGGCCAAGGCCTTGGCTCTCCACCTTCCCTGGAGGCCTCGGTGGTGGTGGCAGGTGCATTCCTGCCACCACTTCCATTCCTGGCATATGACTCAGGCCTGCCTTCTGCCCCTGAGGAGTGCCTGCCTGTGCCAGATGGGGACTCAGACGTGGAAACAGACACCTGGAGCACCCTGCAATTGGCCCCATGCTATAGGGACAGACAGGAGGGGACTGTGGGAGCCCAGAGGAGACACTTATGCCACCTGGGCAGGGGAGGCAGGGAGAGGTCAGGCAAGGCTTCCTGGAGGAAGTGGCCCCGGGATTAATTATTGAAGGATGAGTAGGAATTAGCCAGATGAAGAAAGGAGGAAGAGCAGGGTGGGAAAAAGGCCCAGCATGAGCCAAGCTTATGGGTGCCTCAGCCCCCATTCTCCTCCACCCCCTCCCCCCAAGTCCTAAGTCTGCCTCCAAGTTATTGCTCATGCCTGCAGTGAGGTCACTCTGCGTCCTCTCCCCGGCTTGAAGCCTGACCCAGGCCACGTGTCCTCCAGGAAACCTTCCTAACTCCCTGCTACCCTCTCCCCCAGCTCTGGGGCAAGAGTCTCTGAGGAGACCTGCTGGTTTGCAAAACTATCCTCTGTGCTAAGTGGCCTCATCAAGTGGCCTGTTTCCTCCCTGGGGCTGTCCTGTGGTTATTGACTGCAGACCGATGGCCGATGGCCGAGGCTGTCCCAAGGTGAGAGGGAATTCCCACGGTGCCCTATGGCCCAGAGGCCCCACAGATGATCTCACAGAAGTGGGGCAGCTATTTTTACCGGTGTTTAATTACAGAGTTGGGATCCCAGAGGAGAGACGAGATGGTGCTCCCAGCAGCTGCGAGGGAAGGGCCATGCCGCGAAATGTGGGGATCCAGAGGGCCGGGGAGGGCATGACCCTCTGTCTCAGTTCCCTTAACACTGACCTGGCCCCCTCAGACAGGGACTCCCCAAGGCAGGGCAGGACCACATCACCCCACTTATTCTCCACGGGTAATTTTCACCCTGGTCTGGGAGTTGGGGGGAATGCATAAACACAATGGGCTGGGCCTATGCCCCCAGGGGTGATGCCCCCTTGGGAAAGGAGGAAGCAAGGCCCCCAAATGACTGGACACACACCATGTAGTTTGGTGATCCGGAGTGATGAAGGACCGAGGGACCCGGGAATAGGAGGAGGAAGCTGGGGTGAGGAGATGGCTAGGATTCTGGATTGGCCTCTTCCAGAAGGTGGGATCTGGATGGGAGCTCTGGAGGGAGCAGGATTCCAGGAGTAGAGTGTAGAGCTTGCAGGCTGCTGTGATGGAAAGAAGTCTGAGGAGGCAGTGCCTTCAATGCCAGGAGGAAAAGTGGTCATCCTTGATCCACACTGGGAGATGACCCCCAGGTCCTGGAGCCAGGGTGAGAATCCCAGGCCTGTGACTAATAAGCTGTGGGTTCTCAGGCCCCGAGTGGGGGCTTAGGCAGTGACAGCTGTGACATGCCTGGGGTGCCAAACACATTCATTTGTTCATTCAGTGTTTACTGAGTGCCTGCTGTGTGCCCAGCACTGGGGACACAGCCACTTAGAAGACTGTCAAAATCCCTGCCTTGTGGAGCTGGCATTTTCAAGGGAAGGGTGCGGTAGGGGGTTGGGGGAAGGACAACACAACCAAGCAAGTGAATAAATGGTATGTCAGGTGGGGCTAAGCACTACGGAGAAGAGGGAGCAGAGAAAGGGCATGGAGCTGGCCTCACTGGTGGAGCAGGAGCATTCCTTATTCTCAGTAGGGTAGTGGTCAGGGAAGGCTATTGGTATTAGAGCAGAAACCTGAAGGAGGTGAGGGAGTCTGGGGGAAAGAGCATTCCAGGCAAGTGCAAAAGAGAATCGCAAGTGCAAAGGCCCTTGGGTGGGACCCAGGGGTGGCCAGAGCAGAATGGGCAAGAAGAGTGGCAGGAGATAAGCTCAGAGAGGCACAGGGAGGCAGACCAAGTGAGGCCTTGGGGGCCATGAGTAGGAGTCTGGCTCGTAATCTGAGTGGAATGGGAGCCATTTGCAGGATTTTGAGCAGAGGAGGGACCTGATCTGTCTTATGTTTTAAAAATGATAACTGGGTTCCTGGATGGAGGGCAAACTATAGCAGGGTGAGGTCGGGTTCCTGGGACCCAGTGAAGAAGCTGCTACAGGACTGACGGCAAGAGAAGGGGTCATGTGGGTCCCTGGACAGCAGCCTGGATGGGAGGAGTGGAGGAGGGGTTGGGCTCCTGGCATATTTCACAGACAAAGCCATGAGCATTGCACGTGACTTCCTCCTGTGCACCGGGCTTTGGGAGCCCTCAGAAGAGGTTACCTAGGGAAGCAGGGTTATTGGAGGCTCATGGGGACCCCACTTCAAGGCACCTGTCATCCCAGCCTCCTTGGCCGGCCCCAGGAAGGACCTTGGGGTTCCCTGAGGCTGCTGTTTGAAGAGAGAGTGAATGGGGGTCTCTCCTCCTGCAGAGGCCGCCACCCTCCTCGCTGGTGGTTCTTCCCTTCACACATTGGCGCTGCTCCAAACGACTGCATGTTGCAGCCACCCCCCAACACACAGCCCCAGGGAGCCCTAGGGGAGCGGGGCCACAGTGCGGGGGAGAGGAAGCGGGGCACGAGGGGATGGGGGCGCTCTGGTCACAGGACAGAAGGTCACTCCACTTCCTTGTCGCCCGCAGCCGCCGGGAGCTGCGATGGATCGGGAGCCATGAATGGTGCCGCCCCGGTCCCGGTCCCGGTCCCGGTCCCGGTCCCGGTCCCGGACTGGCGGCAGTTCTGCGAGCTGCACGCGCAGGCAGCCGCCGTGGACTTCGCGCACAAGTTCTGCCGCTTCCTGCGCGACAACCCGGCCTACGACACGCCCGACGCTGGGGCCTCCTTCTCCCGCCACTTCGCCGCCAACTTCCTGGACGTCTTCGGCGAGGAGGTGCGCCGCGTGCTGGTGGCCGGGCCGGCGCCCCCCGACGCCATGGAGCCCGAGCCGGCGGGGCCCCCGGCGCTCAAGGCGGCAGCGTGCGGCCACTCGCGGAGCTCAGAGGACGTGTCGGCGCACGCGGCGGCCAAGGCCCGCGTCCGCAAGGGCTTCTCGCTGCGCAACATGAGCCTGTGCGTGGTGGACGGCGTGCGCGACATGTGGCACCGGCGCGCCTCGCCCGAGCCCGACGCCGGCGCCGCCCCGCGGACCGCCGAGCCCCCGGCCGAGCCGCGCGACAAGTGGATGCGGCGCCTGCGGCTGTCGCGGACGCTGGCGGCCAAGGTGGAGCTGGTGGACATCCAGCGCGAGGGCGCGCTGCGCTTCATGGTGGCCGACGACGCAGCCGCGGGCCCAGGGGGCGCCGCCCAGTGGCAGAAGTGCCGGTTGCTCCTGCGCAGGGCCGTGGCCGGCGAGCGCTTCCGCCTGGAGTTCTTCGTGCCGCCCAAGGTGAGCGCCAGCCCTCACCCAGGGGGACGGTGGAGGGGCGTGGGCAGCAGCTGGGGGGACCAGGGGCAGGCTCCGGGGACCGCACTGCCTGGTCTGGTTGGCAAGACGGAGTATGCAGTGTCAGGGGCCTGGGAGGTCGGCCCACTCTGCCTCTCGGACAAGTCACCCCTCAAGCTCTCTTTCTCTGCCTGTGAGGTGTCAAAAGGGCTCTCTGGCTGCAGGAGGTGTTCTGGGGTACTATTCTTGGTGGTGGTGGAGAGCCTGGCTGCCTGCCTCTCTCTCTTCTGCATCTGGGGCCCCTGGGTGGCTGGAGCCTCCCAGACAGGAGGCCTGGGGGCATGAGGGCAGGGAGTGATGTGGTACACTCAGAGAGGGCCCCTGGGGAGGTCTGTGGCTGGTCTCCAGCTTGGCTGCCAGGCTGCAGCCAGGCGCCTGCCCCAGTGGCCCTTTTCTGGCCCAGGTTTCAAAAGCTAGGCTTTTTCTGGCTGTCACCAGCATTGCTGCTCCCCTGAGCATCCCATGCCCACCTTGGGGGCTTGCCATCAGAGCCCTGGGGGCAGCTTCGGGTCTCCTCCAGGGTGGCCAACCTGCCTTGCCTGGAAAGTGGAAGTAGCTGTAACAATAGTGCCTGCTTTCTAAGAGCCCACTGCGTGTGTGGCCCTAAGCCTGGTGGGCAGGCTCATCTTTTCAGTACCTGGCAAGGTGGGCATCGTGGTCCCAAGGTCACAGAAGAGAAAACAAATGAATACTCAGAGAGGGGGTATGGCCTGCCCAAAGTCACACAGCTGGTGGGTAGCAGAGCCAGGCTAATCATACCCACCCCCCTGGTGGTCCCGGAAATGAAAGGAGAGTGGAGGTGGAAGTTCCTTGTGCTCTGGGAGGCTGGGAAAGGTGGGAGATTGTGCTGGTGCAGCAGTCGGTGGCACCCCTGAGAACCACCCAGGGCCCCACCCACCTCTGGGCCCGCTCTGTCCCCGGGGGCCTTCAGCCTCCGTGAGTCTCAGCTCTTTCTCCATCTCCCAGGCTGTCAGGACTCTGGATGCCCCTCCTTGCTTATCTCCACTGGAGGTGCAGGCTGTGGGCTCCCCAAGGCTGGGTGCCCATGAGCTGCATGAGAGGTGACTTCCTAGGGACACGTTTTACTCTCTGAAGAGCTTTCTCACCAAGTCCCAGGACCCGCAGACTTCCCGAGGCCAGAGAGTGCCCCCACCTTTAAGTCCCTGAGAGGAATCGTAGACTACTAAGCCCAGCTCCACTGCTTGTCAGACAGGGAGACCGAGGCCCAGGGAGGGCTGGGGAGCACGGTGGAGCTTGCCCAGGGTCACCCAAAGGGCAGAGGCAGAGGCCGGGGCTTCAACACTCTGCCTACGGGCCCTGAGTGGCAGTCGCAGCTGCCCGGCTGTAAATAGTAGCAGCGGCTGCCCTCGGGGAGGGCATGCAGCAGCTGCTGCCTTCTCCCTTAGTCCTCCCAGGCCCAGCATTCCCCGCTGGCCGAGGGCAGGGTTCCTGAGGGGTCACTTTCCCAACCTCTGAGGAAGGCAGGTGGGTTCCCTCCCCCTGATCTGGCCTCAGACCCTCCTTTTGTCATGCAAGTGTCTGTGGATTCAGGAGTGAGCCTGGTGGGAAGGTGGATCTGACCATGTAAGGGCTCAGCTCAGGTTTCCCAAATGCGTTGGGTCCCCGGGTGAGTGAGCCCCACAGGGCCCCCCTGCTGACAGCCCCCACTGCCTTTTAGTCTTGTTCTCCCACCCACAGTACCGATCTCCTCTCTCCCCTGGAGGCCGAGCTGCATCCTCGGAGCAGACAGGAGCCTGGGGTCTGCAGGCTCAGGGGCTCTTCCCTGGATCCTCAGACTTCCCTCTCACACGGCCCCATGAGTCAGGTCTCCGGCCTCCTGCCCCCTCATCCTGCAGGAAGAGTCTCCTGGACCCCAGGTCCCCTCATAGCCCTATGCCAGGCCAGCCCTGGGGACCCCTGGCCATTGGGGAGCCACCAGGGAACCAGTATTTGCAGGACTGGATGGTAACCCTCAATGGGGTGCTCTGGGGGCCAAGGAGGGGAGGCCTAGGCTACATAAGTTCACCAGGCAGAGGAGCCCTGAGATGGGCATTTCTGGAGGCATGAGTTGAGTGAGCAAAGGCCTGGAGTCTGAAAGAGCCCGACGGCTCTGTCCAGGGAAATGGGGTATGGCTGGAGCAGAGCGGAGGCAGCTGGCCGGGACACACAGGCCTCAAACGCCAGGCAGGGGAACCAGCACCTCCAGCCAGCAGGAGCCCAGCTGACGTCCCCAGTCCAGGCCTGCACTGCAGACCCCGTCTGCTCCAGCCACTCCAGGATTGGGGCCCCTGCCCCAGGGGCTAGTGGGATGGCCTGCCAGGGTCAGCTGAGCCCCTCAGTTACTGCTGCAAGCCCAGCCCTGGGTCCGCTGGATGGCAGCCAGCGCTGCCAGGAGTTCCCATCCGCCTACCCGCCCAGCGTGTGGCCCTTCCTTTTCCTCCTGAGAAAGTCCCTGTCCCGGAGCCCAAGCCGTGCCGGGAATCTCAGTCTCAAGCCAACCCCAGGGGGCCTTAGGGCTGTGGCCAGGAGCTCTGGGGCAGAACGGGGAGGGCCAGGCACACAGTGGCCCTCCCTGGAGCCCTGACAGCTCCCCCTGGTTGAACCCCATGCCGGGCCCTTGTCCTCCACCGGGAGACACGGCCCTGCCCGCTTCCAGGAGCCCTGTGCTGAGTTGGGGGCTCCAGAGCCGTGCTCTGGGAAGTCTAGTCTAAAGGGGGAGACCAGCATTTTTTTTTAAATGAACTAGAATAGACCAGAAAATACCACACTCCATCACACACAGTCGGGGTAAATATTGTCTGGTGAAACATTTGTTTCAGAGATATTTTTACCTATGTGTGCACCGGGTCACAAGGTCAAATGTATTTCTTACTATGGGTCAAGGTCAGCAATGTGAAAACCAGAGATCTGGTGAGTGCCCTGGGCGGAAAGACAGCTGGGGCGGAGTTCACCCCTCAGGGCTCACAGGTGGGAGAGTCGGATGTTAATGCCAGCTCTGTCCCTGACTTGCTGGGTGACTATATGGGGTGGTCCCTTTGTTTCCCAGAAACTCCCTCAACTTACCCATCTGTGAAATGGGGATTGAAACACCTCTAGGCCAGGGCTGCATGGCATTCTAGGCTGAGGGCTGCTCTGACCTCTGGGAGGAGGAGAGGGTAGAGGGTTTCAGGAGGCCCTGAGGCCTCTCTCTCACTACCCCTTCCTCTGGCCTCCCAGGCCTCCAGGCCCAAGGTCAGCATCCCCCTCTCAGCCATCATCGAGGTCCGCACCACCATGCCCCTGGAGATGCCGGAGAAGGACAACACGTTCGTGCTCAAGGTGAACCCCACCCCGGGCCCACAGATCCTCTGGCTGGCCCAGGCCACCTCGCTCCGGGGTGGCACAGCTTGAGGTCACTGTAGGGGGAGTGAGGTTAAGGGGCCAGCAGCAGGGCAGTGGGAAGGGAGCCCTGATGGGGGACCAGGACCCTCCACAGATGTCTAACACATAGCTACGTCTTAAGTCTGGACTTGGGTTCTAAAGCCAAGTGCCCCAAGTGCCCCACCACCTGGGCCCCTGTTCCCATTTCCTCCTGGGCCTGGGTGAAGGTCCTCTGGGTTTCACTTCCTCCCCTCCCTTCCCCGACCACAGCCAGCACACGCCCACTACCCACCCCATGGGTGGGAACGGTGGCCAGCCTGCAGCAGTTATGCAAATCCTCCTGTCCAGGGCACTGGAGTGTGGGAACCCGCCTGGTCCCACAGAGGGCACAAAGGCGCTGAGGGTGGGCTGGGAGGCACCCTGGTGGGTCTGGGGGCAGCTCGTCCTTTTCCCAGGCCCATGTCACTGGGGTGGCCTGCTGGGGTTGCTGAGGACACGGCTCCAGGCTGCCAGGGCTGTGGCCCTGTGCCTCCTCGAAGGATTAGAGGGTGTTTGTGAGCCAAGTCCCCAAGGAGGCCTGGCCTAGTCCCGGCCACCCAAAGCTGCATGGAGCCCCACCCTCCCCTCCAGGCTCCTGGTTGGGTTTATGTTTTCACTCGTCCCTATTTGTTTAGTCACGAACTCTCTTATTCATTTAGCAAACATCTGCCAACCCCATGCCCTGAGTCACCCCAGGCCCTCCCTGCCTGGCATTCTCACCTGCGGGGTGAGACAGGTCTGGAGCCTCGCTGCCCACCGCTGGTGGCCACTGCGCTGTTGCTGATGCTTAGGAGCCCTGAGGCAGAGGGGCTCACCTGCTGGCCCCACTCTGGGCCTCAGTCTCCCCATCTGTTCAGAGAGGGCTTGAAGGCAGTCCCTGCATTTTTTTTTTTTTTTGAGGAAGATTAGCCCTGAGCTAACATCCATGCTAATCCTCCTCTTTTTGCTGAGGAAGACCGGCTCTGAGCTAACATCTATTGCCAATCCTCCTCCTTCCCCCCCCCACCCCAAAGTAGATAGTTGTATGTCATAGCTTCACATCCTTCTAGTTGCTGTATGTGGGACGCGGCCTCAGCATGGCCAGAGAAGTGGTGCGTCGGTGCACGCCCGGGATCTGAACCCGGGCCGCCAGTAGCGGAGCGCCGCACTTAACCGCTAAGCTCCGGGGCCGGCCCAGTCCCTGCATTTTAACCGAGCCACAGACAGGAACCTGGGAGCACAGGGCCTTAGCTTCACGGAGACCTGGGTCAGGTCCCAGCGCTGCCACTGAGTGCTACTGTGACTTTGAGCAAGTTACCTCACCTCTCTGACCCTCAGTCTTTTCATCTGTACAGTGGGGAAAACATACTGCCCCTCTTACAGGGCTGTTGGGAAGAATTCATCAGATAATGTTTGTGCAGGGTGGCACTCAGGCCTGGCCCACAGCAGGGGCTTCTTCCTCCTCTCTTCCCTTCTGGAGGCTGTTTATCCCTGGGGCGTGGCCACAGAGCTAGCGTGGCCAGGCACTAAGGCGTGGGAGCCCCTCAGCTCAGGGTGCTAGGCCAGCTGGCCCCTCAGTTGACTAGAGGGTTGTGGTGCCCTTTCACCCCATCTCCAGGCTGCCAGGTCATGGGTTGGGGATGCTGGGCCACCCGTCCCTTGCCCAGCCAGCATGGCCTCCTCCTCAGAGGCTGTGTCTGCAGGACCCGAGGACCTGAGGTCAGCAGGATTTGACATCATCCCCAGTGATCCCAGTGGTGGGCCCAGGAGGGAGGGGCTGCTGAGAAGATGGGCTGCCGCTCCCCCTCAGGACCCTGGCCTGAGTTTGGGGTGGTACTTGATGGTGACCCCACTGTCTTCAGGCTCTCACCCCAGTGAGCCCTCATGGGGGAGGGGTGGGCTGAGCCATTTGTCCTGGGGTCTGGAGCTCCCCGCTGAGGCTAGAAGTTAGGGTACTGGCTGTGATCTGGACTCCTGGCCCCAGGTGGAGAACGGAGCAGAGTACATCCTGGAGACCATCGACTCCCTGCAGAAGCACTCGTGGGTGGCTGACATCCAGGGCTGCGTGGACCCCGGGTGAGTGCCCAAGCCGCCCTAGCATGGGTGGACAAGAAGGGGCCGGGCTGGGGTGTGACCTTGACCCCGCCTTCACAGGGAGCAGCTTTCTGGGGAGGGCGGGAGCTGAGCTCGAGAAATGGCATTGTCTCATGGCAGTCCTATCCAGGTTGGTGCTGGCAAGGATCATCTGAGCCCCACCCCCACCCCAGCAGGTTCTGCGAGGCCCGCTCTGCAGGGCCAGGGCCTGGGGACCTGGAAGGAAGTTGAACCAAGTCTTGTCCTCACCCCAGGGGAGCCTGAGACCACTAGGAGATAGTCAGTGATGGGGTGAGCCAGAAAGGCCAGGCATGGGAGACAGAGAAGAGACCCCTCGTCCAGGCCTGGGGCTCAGAGATGGTCTGCTGGTAGAAGTGGTCACCATCTCCGAGTTTTAAAGAAAAAGTGGGCCTGAGCCAGGCAGAGGGGCTGGGTGTGGGGGAGGGCAGAGAGAACAGCCCAGCAAAAGGTATGGAGGTGTGCGAGAACCTGGGACTAGCAGGGAGCGTCAAGGCCTTCAGGTAGCTAGAATTAGGGCTGGTGAGGAGGGGACTCCGATGAGAGCCCAGGAAGCTGGTAGGTTGGGGGCAGTGGGGAGCCATGGCTAGTAATAAACAGAGGGCAGCTACGGTCAGCTGTGTAAGGAAGAGCAGGGTGCACCGTCCAGGAGCATCCGAGGCCAGGAGGAGGAGGGGCAGGTGGGCCGGCACTGAGCATTTGGCAGCAGCTCTTTGGGCTAATGGGGTAAGCCAACCCCGGGGGGAGGGGCTGCTGCTCTCTAATTAACAGCTTCATTTAAGGAAGCACAATTAAAGTCCTGAGCGCTTCCCAGGCCCCCGATCCCCAAAGTGGTTGAAATCCCTCCCCTGCCACCCTCCCAGCCATCTGCTCTGCAAACTCTTGCCCCAGCCCCTGCGAAGGTGAACCACACTTTATAGTATTTCAGAGCTGGCAGGGACCCAGACACCACATGTCACAGATGGGAAGACAAAGGCACAGGGAAGGGGGCTGCCCAGGCCTCACCCACCACCGTGCCCTGCCACCATTTGAGGGACTCCATGGGATCCCAGGAGGAGGCCAGCCCCTTGTGAGTTAGTGGGCAGGGGCCATGTGGCCTCAAGGAGGACTGTGCCCACTTGGAGACCTAGATGTCTCCATATGGCCTGGTCACTCACATGGTGGCCACAGAGCAAGCTGAAGGTATGGCAGAGGGACAGGAGGCAGAGGGACCCCAGGGGAGTGGAGGGCAGGATGGGGCTGATGCTGCCATGGAACTGTCAGCCACAGCCTGGCTCCATGAGCAGCCCGTGGTCCAGGTCCGTGTCCCACAGGACATGGTTGTGCTTTCTTGCCTCCACAGGGACAGCGAGGAAGACACCGAGCTCTCCTGTGCCCGGGGAGGCTGTCTGGCCAGCCGCATGGCCTCCTGCAGTTGTGAGCTCCTGACAGACGGTAGGTGGGGGCAGAGCTGGCTGGAGTAATGGAGGGCAGGGCTAGAGGGGTGGTCACTCAGAGATGGCCAGACCGACAGACATGCCTCTTACCTGCCACTTCTCCAGCAGTAGACCCGCCCCGGCCCCCAGAGACAACGGCAGCCGTGGTGACAGCCCCACACAGCCGAGCTCGAGATGCCGCCAGCGAGTCCTTGGTCCATGTCCCTCTAGAGGCCTTCCTGGAGACCCTGGAATCCCCGGGCGGCAGCGGCGGTGACAGCAATAACACCGGTGCGGTGGGGGCAGCCTGCTCTCCCTGCCCCTCCATCCTGCGCCCCTACCCCAGGCCACGGGCACCCGAGGGCTCCTGCCAAGGCCCTTCCTGAGCCTCAGAAGCTGTGACATTGCATCCCACGGGATCCTTTGCACAGAGGCTCTGTACTTCTGGCTTTTGTAGGCCAGTCCCAGAATGTGACTCCTCCCACAGGCCCTAGTTCCAATAGAAAATGCTAGGGATGCGAAGGGTGGGAACCAGGTTTGGGGACAAGGAGCCTTGACCTGTTCCCAGGTTTGTTGCTGACTTAGAGAGTGACCTCAGGATAGTCCTTCTCTCTGTGCCTCAGTTTACCTCATATGCTTAACTGCCGTGTTCTAACAGCATTTTACATGCAAAAACCCAACAACATGTTGCATCCCTTCTCTCATTTATTTGCCCCCGCTCCCCCCCGCCCCTCACACTGTCATCCCTCTGCAGGGGAGGAAGGAGCAGAGCCAGAGCCCGAGGCCGAGCCCGCATTGGAGCTGTCCGACTACCCCTGGTTCCACGGGCCGCTGTCACGGGTCAGGGCAGCTCAGCTGGTGCTGGCGGGTGGGCCCCGGAGCCATGGCCTCTTCGTGATCCGCCAGAGTGAGACTCGGCCGGGGGAGTACGTGCTGACCTTCAACTTCCAGGGCAAGGCCAAGGTGAGTGTCTGGAGTGGGTGGCACAGGGGCAGAGTGGCCAGCCCTGGGGAAGGGGGCCGAGGTGGCCCTGGTCCCGAGGCTGCCTTGGCATCCTGGCGCAGGCTTCACAGGTGTAGGTGTGGCATGACTTCCCACAGGCCTGCTCTTTGAATCACTCGCATCCCTGCCACACCTCTCTGAGGGGTGCGGTCAGCCCCAGACGAGGCTTCTTCATTATCTGGATGGGGAAGTCGCCTGCTGGTGGCCAAGCCCGGAGGAGGCCGGGTCCTTCTGAGGGTTTAACTTGGACCCTGTGCAATGGGGATCATTTTGCACTGGGGCTTCTGAGGATCTCCTCCCAGAGCCACCTTGGCGCAGGGCTGGGGTCAACCAAGGCCCTCCTGCCCCACCTACCCCCAGACAGCCCCTCTTCCTCCCTGCTCAGGTCAGTTTACCAACCCCTCCTGGGCCCCAGCTCTGGGCCAGGCCTGTGCTCAGGCCAAAGCATGTGGAAGGGAACCATGAACAGGGGGGCCCTAGAGGCCAGGTGGGAGAGGAGGAGCTGGGCCCAGCAGGAGGGCTGCGCAGGGTCTGGGGGGCCAGAGGAGGAGGGGACCTTGACCTGAGATGGGCCGTGGACGGAGAATCCTGGAGGTGAAGACAAGTGGAAGGGTGATCCTGACAGGGCACAGCACAGGAGTGACAGTGCACCCAGAGCGTGGGATCTCGAGGAGGGGCATTGTGTGCCGATAATGACCTAAGGTGCAAAGGAAAATATGACAGGAAAGTCAGATGATTGTGTGGGGGGGCGGGGTACAGTGTGGCCAGGAACCTCAAAAAATCCCCCATCCTGTGTTCCGATAAGGAAACAGAGCTGCCCCGGCTCCTCCCAGGACGGGGTTCCCGTCAGTCCCTGCTGGAGGAGGGGGCACCCCAGGACTCCTGCTCCAGGCCTGCACTGGTGGTCAGTGTCCCAGCTCCCAGCTGGCCTGGCACAGCCGCCCCCCCCCAACTCCCTGGGCCTCTCCTCTTGGCGGGATTGGCCCCACCGTGGAGGAGACAGCACCTCCCCAGGGACACCTCCTTGGAGGGCAGCCGCCCTTACCAGTTCCTCCAACAACCAGGCGCTTAATGCTGTTCTTGGCAGCCCGAAATTGGCTTCTTGGCCAGCACCACCCCAGGCAGCCTCCCTGGAGGGCCTGGATCTGACTCACGCCTAAGCCAGAGGCTAGGATGGTGCCCAGCCCACCCTGGGGCATGGGGGGCGGGTAGTTTGGGGGAGAGGAGCAAGGCAGGAGGCTCCTCTCCTTCCCAAGGCAAGACCCAGCTTGAACTCGCCCCAGCTGCTGCCCTCTCAGAGCAGGGTGACTCGGCCCAGGGTGGGGTAAGTTAGTGATGGGGTATAACAGGACCCCCAGCTTCCTGCTTGCACACCTCCTGGGAAGGAAAACCTCTGCCTTCCAAGGCAGCTCTTTTCACCTTCAGATAATAAATGTCTGGAAGGTTTTGCTGAAGATTGAGGTGTACCCACCCCCCGGGGCCCAGCTCTGCCCTGGGCCTCGGCCCCCAAAGGCCCTGGCCAGATCTGAGGCTGTGGTGGGACCTCACTATGCTGTTCTTCTCGGGCCAAGCCCCAGCCTTGGGCTGCCACTAATGCTCCCTGGGTTTTCTCCCACTGTTCTGGCAACTTCTGGCCCTGCTGAGTGACAGAACTCACTCCTGGGGCCACCCCCCCCCAGGAGGGGGCATGGTGCTTCTCTATCCTTTATATAGGCAGCTAGGCCAGCTCCCTGTCCTGGGCTTGGGGCCATGTGCATACCCTGAAACCTTCCTATCAGCGCCCCTCTTGCCACACACACCCCAGTGACAGCCATTCTTCCTCCTGTGGGATACATATTGAGCAAAATAGGGCTGAAGCCAGAGACCTGTGGCTCTCCACTAGAGACCATGGGCCTGTGGCTCCTCTCCCTGAGGTGCCCTGCCCCATGTGGGCTCTGGAGACCCAGGGAGGAACCAGTGGTGTTCCTCGTGCTCCAGGCACTCCCACGGCAGCCCAGTTGAAAAGCACTCACATCACTCCGTGGCCAGCCTTGAGCCACCCCTCTGGCCTTGGCTCTTTGGGCACAGCAGGTAGACCGCTAGCCTTCAGGGTGGGAAAATCACACAGCATGAGTTCTCCTCCTAGCTCTGTGCCCTGTGATTGTGGGTGAGGCACTCCCTCCCTGTGCCTCAGTTTCCCTATCTATAATATGGGGCTGTAATCTCTACCCTCTAGGGCCTTTGGAGGACTAGATTTCTTTCTTTTTTTTTTTTTTGTGAGGAAGATCAGCCCTGAGCTAACATCCATGCCAATCCTCCTCTTTTTCTTTGCTGAGGAAGACCGGCTCTGAGCTAACATCTATTGCCAATCCTCCTCCTTTTTTTTTTCCCCAAAGCCCCAGTAGATAGTTGTATGTCATAGTTGCACATCCTTCCAGTTGCTGCATGTGGGACGCGGCCTCAGCATGGCCGGAGAAGCGGTGCGTCGGTGCGCACCCAGGATCCGAACCTGGGCCGCCAGTAGCGGAGCACGCACACTCAACCGCTAAGCCATGGGGCCGGCCCTGGAGGACTAGAGATGGGGGGTGAAGGGCATGATGTGGGTGCTCCTGGCATAGGGACAAATGCCTGCTCCCTTCAGTCCCAACCTGGCCGTTACCCCCATTCCCCACCCCCACCACAGAAGTGACCCCCCCCAAGATGGGGTTCACATGTGAGGGGGCCCCAGCTCTGACACAGCCCCATGTGGCCTCTATGAGACTTGGTCCTCCCAACCACCCCTAAAGTCACTTGCCCAGCAGGTGGCCAGTCCAGGACCCCACCAGTGATCCCACCCACCTGTGCCCACAGCACCTGCGCCTGTCCTTGAACGGCCACGGGCAGTGCCACGTACAGCACCTGTGGTTCCAGTCTGTGCTGGACATGCTCCGCCACTTCCACAGCCACCCCATCCCGCTGGAGTCAGGGGGCTCTGCAGACATCACCCTGCGCAGCTACGTGCGGGCCCAGGGCCCCGCATCTGGTAAGACGCCCCACCCGGCCGTGTGGTGGGCAGTGGCGGAGGGAGGCACCCTTAGGCTGCCACCCTGCATTGCTAGCCCCCATGGGATGAACACCAGCGCAGTTGTGAGCAAGCCGGACCATCCGGCTGGGAGGGAGAGCGGCAGCCCCACAGGTCCGGGTCCTGAGTGGCTCCCGGCGAGGGGAAGTGGTCCCTCAGAGGCAGCAGGGGGGATTCCCTAGGCCCCTGCACAGTGGGGCTCAGCCCAGAGCTGCTGAAGGAGGGGCGAGGGCAGGCCCCGTGCAGGCGGGCTGACGCCCTCTGCGTGCACTGCCGCCCACACCCCTGACCTCCGTCCGCCAGGGAGCTGGGCTGGAACCAGAGGGGCTCATGCGGGGCCGGGCTCCTGTGTGACCCAGCCCCCACTCCTCCGGCTCTCTGGACCCGGGGAGTGGGGACGAGGGTGGCCGGGCTCGACCCTGACGGGCGGTC